AGGGTTTAGGGTTTAGGGTTGGTATACCAGGGGCATATAAGGGCCCCCTTTTCAGCGCCCATACTACTCGTCGTCCCTTAGCATGGGGGCCCTGAACAGGGGACCTCTGACATACCACTTTGTATACCCTATTATATAACACTTAAGGGCCCATGAATCAGAACCTTTTAATTAAGGGAGGTAAGGGCTCAAATCAAGGGACCATGAAACTATAGGACTTGGTCTCTGACCTGTGTAACAACATCTTCGGACGAGTTTGATGTACTCACTTTGCGCATGAGGGATGCTAGAAGCCCTAAAATCCCCATACCCTGCACGACAAGCCCTGAACCCACCAACCCTCAGCCCAAAACCCTAAACCCTCAACCCTAAACCTTAAACCCTAAACCCTCAACCCTGAACCCTAAACCCTAAACTCTAAACCCTAAACCCTCAACCCTGAACCCTAAACCCTAAACCCTGAACCCTAAACCCTAAACCCTAAACCCTAAACCCGAAATCCATTCAGAGTTGCTTTCGGAAATGCAGGTACCGACCCCACAGCAAGTAAAGACTCTATACAGACCCTATCGAAAACCATAGAGACCCTACAAAGGGCAGGGAAAAAAACTCATAAAGACCCTGTCAGGACCTATGAAACTATCAAGAACCCCCCTAAACCCTAAAACCCTAAACCCTAAACCCGAAACCCTAAACCCTAAACCCTAAGCCCTAAACCCTAAACCCTAAACCCTAAACCCCAGCCAGGCAGTCTGGAGTTGGGGCAGTCAGACCCTCTCTGCCCTGCAGATCTGCCAGCTGCGTTCCCAGCAAGTGGAGATTGATTCTGTAGACCCTCGAAACCCTTTCAGCCCTGTAAAGCATGTTATATATATATATATATATGCATATCTCTAAATAAACTAAATAAATACATAAATATATATATATATATATATATATATATATACATATACATATATATATATATATACATATGTGTATCCTGTAAGCCCTATACACCCGATAAAATCCTACAACTAAGCCCAATAAACCCTAGAAAGCCTATCAACCCTCAGCCGCAAAAGCCCTTCCGTTTCGCTTGATAGGAGTCTTTGAGTTGAGAGCGCATGGTAGCTTTTAGACAAAGGGTTTAGGGTTTAGGGTTTAGGGTTTAGGGTTTAGACAAAGGTAAAGGGTTTTGGCCCAGTATATACTCTGGCTTTTCAATGGGGTTCCAAAATCGTAGCTTTAGGGCCCAAGTACATGGGGATCCTTAGGGTGAGTTTTGGGGGGAAGGTGCATCAGGTCGCTGCAGTGAAAGTCCCGCTGAAATACTCGTCATGAACTCTTAGGCTTTTTTTCACGAAGCCTTAGCCCCGAGTCCGAAATCCTCAGCTGGAGGACCGGCATCTGAGACCGATGGCCATATCCATGCGTCAGCTAAGGTCCGCGATCCTGGCTGCTGCGGCCCCTCAGCCATGTTGGTAGGGTTCAGGTCTGTTTTCTTTCATCTAAAAGAAGCAGAGTAATACTAATGGCAATTTAATAGCAGTAATAGTAGTGATGCTGGTAGACGAACGTGAAAATCGCAATCTTCGGAAGAATCGTAGGGACAGTGATGCTAGTCCTATTTATAGTAGTCGACGTCGTAATAATCGTAACAATATAATCGTCATAACCGATTATTTGTTCCTCAGCTTACGGTGAGAGGTTTAGTGTCGGGTTCTGGGTTTGGGGCTTAATAATCGGAATAGCGTATCTATAGTACTGCTATTCAGTAGCAGCATTAATCGTAATCACACTGTAGTAACAAGAAACCGCAACAATTAATCAAAAAGGTAGCAATAGCAAGAATAGTAAATATACGAGGCCCCACAGTAGGGCCTCCGTGCCTGTTCTTGAGGGTTTGGGTTCGCCCATCAGCCCCTTTAAACCAAAAAAAGTGCACCCCTGTTTATTCCCAGGTTACTCTTGTGCCGGACCATATATGGTAACCCTAAGCCCCAAACCCTGGACCCTAAACCCGAAACCCTGACCTATGCCCTAAACCCTAAACCCTAAACCCCAAACCCCAACCCCAAACCCTAAACCCTAAACCCGGAAACCCTCAGGGTGCAATGAGGTGGTCCTACTGCAGCTCTCGTCTTCCGGATTTCAATCCGATGCTCAAGGCAGCTCCTGCTTCGCCAGGTTCTATAGGGGCGTTTTAAGCCCTGAGCATGAGAAAAGCCCGAAACCCTGCGGTTTAGGGTTTAGGGTTTAGGGTTTAGGGTTTAGGGTTTAGGGTTTAGGGTTTAGGGTTTAGGGGGTTTGGACCAGCAGGCTTGGTTTGTGGAGTTCAGGAGACGTTGACATCCATAGGTTTCAAACCCTGAGGGCTTGGGGCTTCGGGCGTACCTGAGGAACCAAAAGCCGACTGAGGTTCCCCAAGAATCCTAGAAGGGGCTTATAGTAGTGACCTACAAAAAAGCAGGTTTTTGTGTCCTTAAGGGCACCCCAAGCTCGAAGTCCTAAAGGCCCCATGCCCTCCTATCCCTATCAGCCAATTCACCCGGAAGAGCAAATTCCAAATCCCCCAAAAGCACCCAGAAGCCACAAACCCCTAAAAGCCCTAAACCTGAAAAAAATGTTAGAACCCCAAAACCTCAAAACTAGGCCAAAAACCACCCAACACCCTAAACCACCACAAGCGCTGGCCTACTCCGAAGTTCCCTCTATGAAGCCTTAAACCTACTACCATTTGCTTAAGAACCCCCCCCCCCCCAAAAAAAAAAAAAAAAGAAAAAAAAAAATAGAAAATGATAACACAAAAGCCAAACAATAATCTCCATCATACTCTTCTAAAGACGAATATGTTTATTGATTTGGGGTTCTCAAGCAAATAGTAGCCTAGGACTCCAGCTAGAATCAGACTAGGCGCTCATTCCCTTTTTTTACGGTTTAGGTTCCCTTGTAAGCCCCTGTAAACCCAAAATGGCACACTTCTTTGACATTTCATTCCTAGGTTGCTCTTGGGTCTAGCGCCACCACAGCGCCTATCTTGCGAGCTAGAATCCAACAGCGCCGCACACTTTGGGCTTTTTTGACGCACCCGGAATATATAATCCCTGAACCCCCCGCGACCCCAAACCCCAAACCCTACACCCTAAATCCTGAACCCTAAGCCCTAAACCCTAAACCCTCAACCCTAAACACCCCAGCACGGACAGGCCTCCCAGTCCTGCAGCAGTGGCTGAAGCGCGACCTCTCCTGGGTCACGGGCTGGGAGATCAGCTTTTCTGTGCGGGGGTTTTGAAGGGGGGGTATAATCAGGGGAGCAAAAAAAGGGTTTAGGGTTTAGGGTCGCAATTGGAGTTTGGGATTCAGGGTTGTAGGTTGTTGGGTTTAGGGTTTAGTGCTTAGGCTTTGGGGGTTTGGTGGTTTGGGGTCTGGTAGGCAAGTAGTAAGTGGCAAGTCGATCTGTAGCAAGTAGTAAGTGTTTCGAATTTGGAGTTGGGTGTTCAGGGTTTTAGGGCCGGGGCTTTCAGGGCTTTTGAGGTTTTAGGATGGGTTTAGGGTTTAGGGCTGAAGGGGCTACGTTTACCTGGGCAATCGCAGACAATGTAACACACACAGACGAAGCCAGAGGGTTCAAGTACCGTGTATCCTTAAGGGCGTTTCCATGAACTGTCCGGGATTATGATGAGGACCCGCTGGGACCCTCTGGGTAAGATTCCAAACCCTTACTCAGGCTGATATGAATTTGGGTTTATCGTTCTAGGTTTTGGGATTTGGGGTTTGAGGGAGATGCCAGCACGAAGGGTCAGACATTTTCCTGCAGAGCTTGTTGCGTATGGTTGCTGGGGCCTAAACCCTGCTAAACCCCAAACCCTCGCCCCAGCCCCAACAGCCCCCAGAGTAGGGGTAATGTGGGCAGTGCTCCAAACGTTGGGCCCCCTTCTCCACCCCTAAAGACGATGACGAGGCTCCGTATTGCAACAGTAAAGAGGAGACAATAAAAGGGACCTGAATTCAGCAAACCAGTCCCCCCCCCCTCCCCCCCCAACCCAAACCAAAAAAAAAGAACAAACCCTACATAGACGTTAGGGCTTAGGGTTTACGATTCCGGGTAGCTGCTGAAGCATTGGCATGAGTCTCGCGCCACTAAGTCCAGCACGGATGGGGCAGGCGTTCTTCCCAAGGACGCACTGCTGTGGGAAGGGGTCCTGGGCCTGAACTACATGGGCATGTCCCAAAATAAGAGGGGGGGGGAAATAGGGGGGGGGCTACCTGGGCCTGAACTAAATGGGCACTTCCCAAAATAGGCGGGGGGGGGGGGGGGGGGAAATAGGGGGGGCTATCCGAATACACCTCCCAGATACTCTTATCCTTATTCTGGGACTCCCCAAGAACTACAGTCCCAAGGGGCCTTGGGAATCATTTTTGATTTTTGTTTACATAACACCCAAGAGGATATTTAACACTATTGATTTTATTAAGGTTCTCAGGGGAGTATAGAGAAGGAACCCTAAACCCTACACCCTAAACCCAAACCGCAAACCGCAAACCCCAAACCCTAAACCCTAACCCCAAACCCTAAACGCTAAACCCTAAACCCTAAACCCTGAACCCTGAACCCTGAACCCTGAACCCCATCTACGGAAACCCCCCAAATGAATCGCCCCTGTAGTGACTTGGCAGGGCAACTCCCAGAGGTTAGGAAGTTCCAGGAAGGAAGGTGCATGGGGTTTAGGGTTTAGGGTTTAGGGTTTAGGGTTTAGGCTTTAGGCTTTAGGGTTTAGGGTTTAGGGTACCCGCCACCCATGGTATTTCTCCAGCCCACCTGTTTTCCCTTGCCAGACCACCTACTTTTGTTTGTTTGCTTTTGCTTGCCTGTCTCGATGATCGTCTGCTGGAGCGGCGCACCTACCCCTGAAACCCCAAACTTTCAGTCGCCCGAAACCCTAAACCGTAAACCCTAAACCCTAAACCCTAAACCCTAAACCCCAAACCCCAAACCCCTACAGCACCTTGGCCAGATGCATCCGTTCCCGTTTGCCTCGCAGTTTCTGGTCCTCTACCAGACTTTCGCGACGCCCCCGCGCTTGGGAGCTGGCGGTTTAGGTTTTAGGGTTTAGGGTTTAGGGTTTAGGGGTCCCTTATACGAACAGGCCTCAGTAGCGATTATAGGGGACGTTCGTATACGGGGGAACATCCCAACGTTAAGGGCGTTTTAAGGGTTTAGGGGTCCAGGGTTCGTATGTTCAGGTCTTTTGGCCAGGCCGTCGGGTTTCGGGTTCAGGGTTTTTGTTCGGGTTTAGTGCCCCTAAACCCTAAACCCGGTTTAGGGCTTAGTACGGGGCCTTTAAGGGTTTGGGGGCTGAGGTTTCTGGAAACTTCCTGGCAGCAAGGAGGTCGAGTTTTTCAGTTAAGAATTATAGTGCCCACGAATATACTAGGGGGGGGGGACCTGCCAAACCTAGGCTTAAGTGTGGATGCAGGTTTTCAGTTTTTCGTCGGCTCCGTGCGTGTTTAGATGTCAGATTTGTCTGTCTTTGTGGAGCTTTAGTGTAGCTTCAGATCCTTATCTTTTTTGGGTTTATGGGGTTTCCTAGTAAGGCAGCTAAAAATTTCATTTATAGCTACTCTCCTAAGTGGAGCCAAGTTGTATGGGAGGCTATGGACTGCTAGGCCGCCTCCGCACCTAAACGGCGCACATAGAAGTAGCCCTAAACCCTAAACCCTAAACTCTAGGCCCTAAGCCCTAAGCCCTAAGCCCTAAGCCCTAAGCCCTAAACCCTAAACCCTATAAACCCTAAACCCGAAATTTGGGTTCAGCCGGCCATGCAGCCCAGGCACCAAAACCCACAGAGAAGCGGCCGATTTAGACATGCGATCATATGAGACCTTTGGTTCTTTTATAGGGTTCTTAAGGGTTCAGGGTTTAGGGTTCAGGGTTTAGGGTATAGGGTTTAGGGTTTAGGGTTTAGGCTTTAGGGCTCAAGGGGAGGCATTTCACCCAAGGTTCCCCAATATTCCGCACTACTCCCTAACCTCCGTAAGGTTACCTAGGTACCCCCCTTTAATCTGTTTCCCGGCATGTTGTTGACCTGGTTTTTGTTTGGGCTTGCATGGCAGTCTTCAGGGTTTAGGGTTCTTCTAGGGCAGTTTCAAGCGGGTAGTTTCCGCGAAGCATTTCTTGCCTAGCCCTGCTATTAGAACACTGAGTGCAGTTATAATATATATGGTTCCAAAACGGTCCTAAGCTCTTACTTTTCATACCGGCGGCCCTAAACCTACCAGCCTAGCGACTCGAAATTTCGCGTCTTTGTAGCAAGCATGGACATCTCATCAGGTGTGCCATCTCAAAAAGTCTCACTCGAAACCCTAAGCCCTAAGCGCACCTATGATAGAGCACGCTCATGGCGCACAAAATGCAGAAGACCCCCTGCTGCCGAAACCCTTGATCCTACACCCTACACCCAAATGCTCACCCGACACCCGACCCGAACCCGAGACCCTAAACCCCAAACCCTAAACCCTAAACCCCAAACCCTAAACCCTAAACCCCCAAACCCTGAACCCTGAACCCCAAGTCGGGCTTCCAGTCTTGCCAGACTCCAACCACCTTGCTGCCGGACTGTTGGAGGGGCGAGGAGTACGCCAATCGGCTGCAACGGGGTTAGGGTTTAGGGTTTAGGGGTGGCTCCCCCCCTAAAGTAACAGTCCTTAATAGGGATTCTAGTAGGGAGCATCATAATCCCCACTAAGGACTGTTAGTATAAGGGGGAACATCCGAAGGCGTGTGCGGGCGTAGGATCTAGGACTCTATAGGACGTAGGGTTTTCAGGGGGTTGGGGGGGCGTAAGGCCCTTATGGCGACCCTCTGCCTGCTCGACACAAGGCAGCGGCATTGAGATGTCGTGAAAGAGCACCTTGAACGCAAAAACCCTGAAACCCTCCCGAACACCCTAAACCCTAACCTCCACCTCGTAACTGTCGCTACTTTTGGAGCCCCCTGAACCCGAAAATCCCCAAAATCCTAACCTAAAGACCGAAACCCTCTTCCTTAAAACCCTTGAACAACTCGGATTATAGGCTGAGGGTTGCCTCTCGCGCCGCTCAGAAGTAGATTCCCAATTGCAGCTCCAATAGGGTTTAGGGTTTAGGGTTTTTTTTTGTTTGCTTATTGTGGTGCACCAGCCATTTAAAGACAGAGGTACCCTTTTGGGTGGGGGACAAATTGAAAGGGACGGCCCCGAAGTTTGTGAAATTCCCAACTTAAAACTCGGAGCCGGAAGCCATGGAACTTACAAACGCGGGGTCTAAGTAGCGGATGCGCGAGGGTCTAGGGTTAATTCGGGGGACCACTTATCGGTACAATCGAGGCATTGTGTACGGTGCATCCAATCCCGAGCTCCTGAATTACCCCCCCCCCCCAAGCTCTGAAACCGAAGCTCTAAACCATCCAGCGCCTGTATCCGGAACCCAAACCCCCCTTAACCCGGAACCCTAAGCCCCCTAAACGCTACACCCCTTCGAAACCTTCTCGCCCCTAAACACTCCAAGCCAGAGGCGGAGAACTTCCGAGTGGGCTGTGGCAGAGCAGCCGAGGGGCTCAGCAATTGGTCTTCGAGTTGTGTTGTACGAGTGTTTAGGGTTTAGGGTTTGCTTAGGGAAGGGTTTCAAGAGGTTCTTGAACACATACAATGCCTCTCAGGGTTTACAACGCAGGGTTTGTACAAGAACCTATCGGGGCAAACCCTAAACCCTAAACCCTAAACCCTAAACCCTAAACCCTAAACCCTAAACCCTAAACCCTAAACCCTAAACCCTAAACCCTAAACCCTAAACCCTAAACCCTAAACCCTAAACCCCGACTGCGCCAACCAAACATCTCCAAGACCTCCTGCGCCTGCAGTCTAGCCTGAACCCTGAGCTCCACAGCCCCAAGCCCTCAATCCGAAACCCCAAATCCTAAACCCTAAGCCCTAAACCCTAAACCCTAAGCACCCCAAACGCCGACCTCAAGAGCTTGCTAGGATGGCTGGGGCATGCCGGCTGCCTGTGACCAGCAGGCTCCGTCTTGCGTGTCGGAGGGTTAGGGTTTGGGGTTTGGGGCTGGGGTTTGGGGTTTGGGGTTTGGGGTTTGGGGTTTGGGGTTTGGGGTTTGGGGTTTGGGGTTTGGGGTTTGGGGTTTGGGGTTTAGGGTTTAGGGTTTAGGGCTTGGTGGTCAGGGTGAGAGAAAGGGGCGGCTTTACCGGCCTTTTTTCATGAAGATTTCGGGCGTGCAGTATGCATTCTGCATGTTCTTCGGGTATTTTCTAACGTTTTTCTCTCCGAGTTGAATTTAGGCATGACATTGTTGGAACCTCTTTTTGTTGCCTGGGAGTTGCAAGGGCAATCCGAGATTTCGCTCTCCTCCTCCCCTCCTGCCTTCTCAGCAGTGGCCCCTCACCATAGACCCTACTTAGGCTCTGAACCCTGGCTCCTGGCCCACAAAAAACCCTAAACCCAATTAGACCCTAAACCCTAAAAGACCCTAAACCCTAAACCCTAAACCCTAAACCCTAAACCCTATTCCTGACAAGCTGTGGCAGGGTGCTGGGAAGCCAAGAAGCCTGGGCCTCTGCCTCTTCGCCACATCAGCTGGGCGGCTCTTCAGCCTTCACGCTTAAAACTCTGCGCCCTAAACCCTACAAGCCCCAAACCCTCCACCCCAAGCCCCTAAACCGGTTTAGGGTTTAGGGTTTAGGGTTTAGGGTTTAGGGTTTAGGGTTTAGGGTTTAGGGTTTAGGGTTTAGGGTGTAGGGTGTAGGGTTTAGGGTTAAACTTCAACCCTAAACCCCTAAACCCGCTCAGTTTACTAGTTGGCAACAGGAGGAGTTTTGGGTGAATTCGGGCGGAGGCATGGGTTAAGGGCCAGGGCTTTACGAGCGTAGCACCGTAATCCCTAAGCCCTGAATCCTAAACCCCAAACCTATAAGGGTCCATGTACCTAAATCAGGAATTCTTGCACCTTAACGTACTTGCTATATGAAAACTGTGGGGCCCAAGTATACAACAATTAGGTACATGGAACCTTAGGGTAGGTAAGCCCTGACTTGAAAACTTAAACGCCCTACACCCTAAATGGACAAGCTACCGCCGAAACTGCCTGAGGCTCCACCGCCCTTTTGCCGGGCTCTCGCAGGGAGGGGCCGAGAACTGCGTGCTCAACGAGGATTTTGTTGCAGGAGTGCCGTATACAGCTAAATATTCACAATAGCATCGTTGATAGTTGTCTAATTGTAGGGGAGTAGGGGTCTATAGGGAGTTGGGGTTTGAGGGTGACGGTGTGGAGCTGTGGGTGGTTGGGGATTTGCGGATGTAGGGTTTAGTGGGTCGCGGGGTGAACTGACTGGTTTGCGGTACCCCAAACGTCCAGAAAGTAACTTGGGTCAGCCGCGAAGCAGCGGTTGTGGGCTTTAGGGTTAAAGCCTGTAAACCACAAACCCACACTGAGCCTTGAGCATTCCCTCCAGCCCTGAACCCGAAATTGACAAACCCTAAACTAAACCCCAAACTCTAAACCCGGACCCTATTTAAACACCAAACCATAAACCCCAAACCCCATACCCCAAACTCGAAACCCCAAACCCTAAACCGCAAGCCCCAAACCTCAAACACTTAACCCAAAACCCCAAACCCTTAACCCTGATCCCCAAACCCTTACCCCAAAACCCCAAACCCTGAGCCCTAAAACCCTAAACCCCAAACCCGAAACCCTAAAGCCCTTACCCCTTACCCCTATAGACACCCCAATCCCTAAACCCCAAACCCTTACCCTTAAACCCTTACCCTGAACCCCAATCCCTAAACCCCAAACCCTAAAGCCTCAACTCTAAACCTCAATCCCCAAACCCTGAACCCCAAACCCCAAACTCAAAACCCCAAGCCCCCAACCCTAAACCCGAAACCCTGGACCCTAAACCCTAAACCCCAAACCCGCAACCCCAAACCCCAAACTCAGAACCCCAACCCCCCAACCCTAAACCCTAAACCCTAAACCCTAAACCCTAAACCCTAAAACCCAAACCCTAAACCCCAAACCCTAAACCCTTATCCCCAAACCCCAAACTCCGGAGTCGCCCCGCCTGGTGACCGAGGCCTGCCGGGACCAATTTCCAGTCCGCGTGGAACTTGGGCTTGTCTGGTTTAGGGTTGAGGGTTTAGGGTTTAGGGTTAAGGGTTTAGGGTTTAGGGTCTAGGGTTGGGGGGGTGGGGTTTTAGGGTTTAGAGTTTAGGGTTTCGGGTTGCAGGGAACACAGGCTGTCTCTCTTCCTTCGCGTGTCCCTGGACCTCTTCCGAGAAGGGCTTCCTTTTTTGGCGTTTAGGGGTTTAGGGCCAGGGTTTAGGGTTTGTAGGGGGTTTTGTGTGTGTGTGTGTGTGTGTTCCCGTTTACGAGAGGACCCTACGGCTCGCCTGCCGGGCTTCGCCTACGGGTCACGGGCTCCTGCCGGTAGCCTGCTAACGACCGGCCCCATGTTTGGGGTCTTCCGTTTGGGGGGTCAGGGCTTGGGGTGCAGGGTTTTGTGTTCTGGGTTTGAGTTTCAAGGTTTAGGGTGTAGGAATTACGGTTTGGGTTATTAAGGGTTTTGGTGATGGCCTGTTTGATTCTAATCTACTTCTCGTTTCCGGTGCAGGATGTTGGGTTAAGGGTTTCGGGGGGCTAAGGCGGAAAAAAGTAAGTGCAAGGTGCGATGCTCAACGGCGACATCCGATGGCAGCCTCGTGCCGTGCTCAGACTGCACAAGATTTGGATCTTTGCGGCTTTATGGAATGTTCGAGCTCAGGCTCTAAGATAAGTTTAGAGTTTGCCCCCTTCTGCGTTCTTAGGTGATTCGAAGCTCCAAAGGTTCTGAAACGTAGCCTTTATTGAGAGGCGTTCGCAGGAAGTCAGTTGCAGGAGCGGGCGTGAGCTTGGGGTGTAAACCCTAAACCCTGAACCCTATAACCCGAGAACCCTATAACCCTATAACCCTATAAACCCTAAACCCTAAGGATAGGGTGTAGAGCGTAGCTGGCTTAAGGGCTGGGAGTTTGGGATTCAGCCGTAGCCCTTCCGGAGACTCCCGCATCTCTTTATTTTTGAATATGTTTTAGGGTTTTGGGTTTTGGGTTTAGCGTTTAGGGTTTAGGGTTTAGGGCTACCTGCAGATCACAAATGCCCCATTGTAAGTCAAGACATATTGTGATCTCTGCCTCGACAATTCCTCGCGCGTCGTGGCTCCAGGCATTGCGCTGTCGTAGCCGGGCGTGCGCGCCGAGTGTTGGGCAGGGGAGCGTAAGGTTTCAGGGTTGAGGGCTTTATAGGTTTTGAGGGGTTTAGAATTGTTAGGGCTCTGAGGGTTTAGGAATTTCGGGTTCTGAGGGTTTTAGGAAGGTAGGGCCGCTAGGAGTTGTTCGCTTCGCGTTTTGTTTCGCGCGATTCAAGTCTCAGGTGTCTTCGGGTTGAGAGTTGAAGAGCTTGACTGTCGTGTATGGATACAAACTTCCCTCTCCATTCATGGGGCCCATCCCTTGGGAATTGGTTTTTTTTTTAATTTTTGTATATATAAAATTATAAAACCCAAGAGGATATTCATAAACGTATTGTTTTTATTAAGGTTCTAAGGGGAGTATAGATCCTACCCCACATACTACCCAAATAGCTCCAGCATGCGGTTTATCTGAGCTTCAAACGGGGTTTGGGGTAGTTGAGGTGGGTCTATTGTGAGATGCCATGTACGCGTCCCTAGGGATGCTGGGATCATGTTCAAGGTTTCGGGTTTCGGGGAAGACATGAAAACCTAAATCCTAAACCCTAAACCCGAAATCCTAAACCCTAAACCCTAAACCCTAAACCCTAAACCCTAAACCCTAAAACCCAACCGGGACCCAAGCCCTAACCCATGTCCGAAAGATCGGCATCGCAGGTACGACTCCCTTGTCCTGGCAGAGTCTCGGCAAACGGAGCAGGAGGCCGGGAACTTAGGGTTTAGGGTTTAGGGGTTTAGGGTTTAGGGGTTTAGGGGTTTTGGGTTTTGGGTTTTGGGGTTTAGGGTTTAGGGTTTAGGGGGATTCCTGGCCTCGCCCTCTCCCCCTACTCCACAGGACCTGCTCCGAACTTTAGGAATCTTGTTGGGGCTAAACCACCTTTCTTGGGGTAATAGAATCCCCTTGTAGTCCCAAAGGTTAACCTTTACTTCCCCCAGGTTACTGGACAACTAAGTAAACTTCACTTTGAGAATCAGCTTCTGCAGCCCGCGTGTTGTCATGGCTTGCCCATTTCAGGGTTCATGAAATTCTCTTCCTACAACCTTGTGCCGTGATTGGAACACAGTTGCCCTAAATCCTAAACCCTAAACCCGAAACCCTAAACCCTAAGCCCTAAACCCTAAACCCGAAGCTCTAGGCACCTCCCTCTGTGAATCGCAGGTCCTGCAGTGGGAATGTCCTGCTTCGCCTACCACCGGAAGCCGAAACAAGCACCGTCCTCAGACGGCAGCTAGAGGGGAAGCCTTCAAATGCCCCAAAGACCCCATGCTTCCCAATCCTGGGCCTTGATGAGGAACCCTAGAACCGGTTAGAATCGCCCTAAACCCTAAACCCTAAACCCTAAACCCAAAACCTTAACCCTAAACCCTAAACCCTAAACCCCTGAAAACCTTACCCCAATCCGCTTCATGCTGGGGTCAGATGCCCAGGTTTGGGTTCACAGAAATTGTGTAGGGCTTAGGCCCCAAAAAGCTTTTGACCGGCACCTTTTGCGGGTTCCGGCGCCCTTTCAGGTTTCCCGGAACCTTTTCTCATAGCCCTTTTCGCCTTTTGGCAATTGTGTGCGTTTGGGGCCCCCAAATGACGTTTCGGGCCTTTTGGGAGGCCTTGTGTTTTGGTATATATATATATATGCACATATGTATATATAGATTAAATGATGCATGCATTGCGAACTAGTTATTAACTTGGCCATCGTTCATCTGTCTTGTCAGTTTTTGCAAGTATTTGTATATGTTCGTTTTCACTTGTTTATGCTTTAGTGTTTTTTAAGCTACAACGACTACCCCCTCCCCCCGCTTCCACCCTGCCAACCCCCCCTCCAAACTCACCACCGCCGCAAAAAATCCCTCTGGCAGGCATTCCCTCCATCCTGCGCGCCAAAGACCCTAGGCCCAATACCCCCAAACCCGAAAGCCTAAACCCCCAAACTCTAAACCCCAAGCCCTGAACCCTCTAGTCAAGCCCTGAACCCCAAAACCCTAAACCCTAAAACCCTAAACCCTAGACCCTAAACCCCCCGACCCCCCCCCCCCCCCCCCCCCCCAAACCTTAAACCCCTAAACCCCAATCTTTAAACCCTAACCCCAGACCCCAAGCCCCAAACCCTAAACCCTAAACCCTAAACCCTCTGACAGGTACTCCCTCCACCCTGCGCGCAGCTGCGCGAATGGACTGGGTACCTGGGGTGCCTCCCTGGCCGAGCTCGGGCTTAGGGTTTAGGGTTTAGGGTTTAGGGTTTAGGTTTCAGGGTTTAGGGTTGGGGGTTTGGGGGTTTAGGGGTTTAGGGTGTGGGGTTGAGGGTTTTGGAGTTTAGGGTTTTGGGGTTTGGGGGTTTCGGGGTTTGGGGGGGTTTGGGATTTCCAGTTTTAACAGCTTAGAGCCTTAAGGTTTCCTTTTCAACTCGCCCTTCGAAGCTCGCCGAAAGCGCACGCGGCAAGTAACATCCAGGCCAAGTGCTGTTGGAAAACTTTAGGGTTTAGGGTTTCGGGTTTAGGGTTTAATGTCGCTTTGTTTGGCTTCCTAAGCTCTTAACCTTAAATCCAAAAATCCTAAGCCCCAAATCCTAATTCCTGCACCCCAAACCCTCTCGACGGCCTAAACACTCGCGATGTATGCTGCGTCGTGGCCCAAGCTGCTTGTGAGTCGCACATCGGCAGTCAGAAGAAGTGGAAACACTTCTTCGGGCCGGGTTTAGGATTTAGGGTTTAGAGTTTAGAGTCTAGGGTCTACGGGTCCCCCCCCGGCAACAAGAGGCTCGACAACGCCTCAACACACACCCACGCACACCAGCAAAGCCCTAGAAAAGTCCCTCAAACCTGGGTCTTGGAGTACTACACTGCAATACTTTTTTGGGCTCTGAGTTCCTCTTAGAGCTACTTGTCCCCAACAAGTACCCCAGTTTTGGAGTACTATACTGTAATACCTTTTTGTTCGCTCTAAGTCCCTCTTATAGCTACTTGTGCCCAACAAGTACAAACTCCAAAGTAGGGAAGCCATGTTCGTACTATAGCTACTTGTCCCCAAAACAGTCTATGCTAAGTAGGGAAGCCATGTTCCTTTTATAGCTACTTTATACCTTACTAATATACTAAGTAGGGCAGCCATGTTCCCATTATAGCTACTTTTTACCTCTGGGTTCCTATTAGAGCTACTTTGTACCTTAAAAAAACGTATAATGTAACTTTGCACCTTAAAAAAAGGTATAATATAACCTTGTACCTTAAAAAAAAGGTATAATATAACTTTCTACTTTAAAAAAAGGTATAATATAACTTTCTACTTTAAAAAAGGTATAATATAACTTTGTACCTTAAAAAAAGGTATCATATAACTTTTTACCCCCCAAAAAAGGTATAATATAACTTTCTACCCTTAAAAAAAGGTATAATATAACTTTGTACCTTAAAACAAGGTAGAATTTAACTTTTTACCCTAAAAAAAGGTATCATATAACTTTGTACTTTAAACAAAAGGTACCCTAAACCCTAAACCCCAAACCCTAAACCCTAAACCCTAAACCCTAAACCCCATACTCCGAAGTAGCGAAGCCATGCGCCGCTGCCTCCGCCGCTTGGCAGCCCTGGCCACGCTGTGCACCGGCTGCCTACCGGCTTTTGCCGGCGGAGGCGAAAGAAACCTTAGACATCTCAAGCTTAGAAGTCTCAGAGTATGGGGTTTAGGGTTTAGGGTTTAGGGTTTGGGGTGTAGGGTTTAGGGTTTTTACAGCTTCCCCTAAATTTCCAAGTAATGAAGTGTGGGAATCCGCCTCGAAGTGTTCCCCTCTCAATCCCGTCCGCCCCGAACCCTAATCCCCGAAGCCTTAACACCACTTATACACCCTATAGACCTTAAACCTGGACCGCCCCAAGCCTTGAACCCTAAACCTCAAGCCCTAAACCTCAAGCCCTAACTAAACCCCAGACCCTAAACCCTAAACCTCAAGCCCTGAACCCTGTAATCCCTGTAAACCTCAAGCCCTAAAACCAAAAAAACCCTAGACCGCATCTCTTTCTGAAGGACTGGCGGCAGCCCCGCGCCCGCAGCGGTCTGAGTCAGTTCGGTCCCGTGCCACGCGCCGTGCCGAGGGCGAGGATGCAGGTTCCTGGGACAACACCAATGGGTTTAGGGTTTAGGGTTTAGGGTTTAGGGTTTAGGGTTTAGGGTTAGGGTTTATATAGGGCTTAGGTTTAGGGTTTGAGGTTTAGGGTTGAAGTTTTAGGGTTTCGGGTCTTGCAATGAAAGAGGTGCCATTCTCCAGATACGTTTTCGGGGGTTCTTAAAGGTTGGGGCGAGGGTACCCCTAAACCCGAAACCCTAAACCCCAAACCCTAAACCCTAAACCCTAAACCCTACACACATTGGTGCTCATGGCTTTAGGGGGCTGATAGGGTGAAGAGTTCCGGGTCCCGGCACGACCAAGCCCTAAAGCCTACAAATTCGGGCCGACAACCTTTCGAGGCCCTGGTTGGGAAGCCCGAGCCTACGGTTTAGGGTTTAGGGTTTAGGGTTTAGGGTTTAGGGTTTAGGGTTTAGGGTTTAGGGTTTAGGGTTTAGGGTTTAGGGTTTAGGGTGGTTCCTGTCACCAGTAATGAAAGATCATGTTTTGTCAAGAAGAAGCACTGTGCGGACAAACCCCAAGGTGTGCCGTTGCGTTGAGTTCAGACTTCCTCAACCCCAAATCCCTAGACCCGATACCCGCAGACCCTAATCCCGAAACGCCTGGAGCCTTCAACTTGCCACGCAAGATTCTACACCCAAAGCGCTAAACCCTAAACCCTGAACCCAAGATCGTTCATGAGGGAATGCTCCCCTTTTCGTTGGCTTGTGCCCTAAATCCTACGAAGCCTTTCATCCCAACACCCTGAAAAAGTTGGCTTGCACCCTAAACCTCAACCCCCCCCCCCCCCCCCCCCCAAAACCCCCTAAAACTCTCACCCCCCTGAGATCGCAAACCCTAAACGCCTATAAGACACTAAACAAGCGTCAGACAAGATCGGAGCCCTCATAAGGAGAGCCATAGTTCCCAACCCGTTTAGGGTCTGGAGTTTAAATCCCAGAACCCCTCAAACCCTAACAGCCAAGACCCCTGAACCCCGGAAAACGTTCATGTGGCACCCGCCCTAAAACCCTACACCCCTTGAACCCGAAGACGCTAAACCCCTACGACTCCAAAAGCCTAAGACCCGAAACCCTAAACCCTAAACCCTAAACCCTAAACCCTAAACCCTAAACCCTTATCCCTAAACCCTAAAAAACCCTAAACCCTAAACCCTAAACCCTAAACCCTAAACCCTAAACCCTAAACCCTAAACCCTAAACCCTAAACCCTAAACCCTAAACCCTAAACCCTAAACCCTAACCAACAACCCTTCGACCATGGAGTCCCCAGCAGGGCGCATCGTAATCCTCGGCGCTGGCCTGCAGGGCGCAGCTTTAGCCACCGCCTCAGACACCTCCGGGCCAGTTAGGGTTTAGGGTTTAGGGTTTAGGGTTTAGGGTTTAGGGTTTAGGATCTAGGATCTAGGGTTTAGGGTTTAGGGTTTAGGGTTTAGGGACCGCCTCAGGCGGGACTCAGTGCCCCTCAACAAGGGGGGTTTCGGGTTTCGGGTTCAGATGTTGTGAGGGTTTAGTGTTTCGGGTTTAGGGCATCTTGGCTGTAGAATAGTTGCGGCCCTAAACCCTAAACCCTAAACCCTAAACCCTAAACCCTAAACCCTAAACCCTAAACCCTAAACCCTAAACCCTAAACCCTAAACCCTAAACCCTAAACCCTAAACCCTAAAGGATTCCTTATACTTCGAATCCTGTATTTATTTCCCTCGTGCCTAGGGGGTCTATGATCCCTATTTCGGGGCAAAACCCTAAACCCTAGATTCGCACAGGCCGTAGACCCGGAAACCGTGGGAGTTGTAAACACCTGGTTTAGGGTTTAGGGTTTAGGGTTTAGGGTTTAGGGTTTAGGGTTTAGGGTTTAGGGAGTGCGGGCCCAGGAAACGCAACCAAGTGACCGCTATTTTTGGGACCCTCATCTAAATCGGTAGGCTCGTGGAGCATGCGTTTCCTCATATCGGGTCTGACGGGACGGCTTTGAAGGACAACCCCCTAAACCGAAACCAGAAGCCCTCTATGAACACCAAACCCTGAACCCTAAACCCTAAAAACCCTGAACCCTTGCATAGCAGGCTTACTTCCTGACTCGGCGTGGGGTCAAGCCGATTGTGGTGGAGCGCGAGAAGGCTTTGGGGGAAATTGCCAGCCAGTGAGAGGGTTTAGGTTTTGTGGGTTTTAGGTTTTTTTTTGGTTTTAGGTTTTATTTGGTTTTTGGACTTTTGGGTTTTAGGGTTTTCGGGCTTTAGAGCTTTAGGGCTCTAGGATTTTTGGGTTTAGGGTTTAGGGCTTAGGAGAAGCAGTCTGGGGGTTTTGGGGCAAGCCGAAGCCCGAAACCCTGAACCCAGATTGAATCAAGAATGCAGTTGGGGTTTGGAGGCTTTTCCGGCGGGTAAGGCCCCAGAATCCTAAACCCTCACAAACAGCCTCTGGCATTCCAAGCCCTAAACCCCAATAACCAGCAAACAACGGAAACCCCAAAAGCCCTCAACAAAGATTTACGTATTTAGCCCCAAGCCGTAAATTTTCGACTTGGAGCAGATCCAAGGCAGATGCCCAGGAGAAAGCGCACCTCGTAATTCCTTGCCGGATAAAATCTAAACCCCTAAAGCCCTAACCGTACACCCCAACACCCTGACCCTTAAGTCCTACACCCTGAAACCCTGAACCCTAGAACGCCCAGAACTAGCACCCTAAAACCCTAAACCCAAAATAAGCTTCATGGCAAAGTTCAAGGGGCGACTGATTGGCTTGGCCTTCCAACTTGGGCTAGCTTAAGCCCCACGCCCCAAACCCCAAATACCAAAGCCCTAGCTCGAATCTTATTAACCCTACACCTCAAACCCCAAACCCTAAACCCTAAACCCTATACTCCCACAAGCCCGACTAAAACCCTAAACCCTAAACCCTAAACCCTAGACCCTAAACCCTAAACCCTAAACCCTAAACCCTAAACCCTAAACCTCAAGCCCCAAAGCATCTGTTGAAAACGGGGCGCATCCCAGAGGTGGCGGCTGCTGCCAGTGGGAAGCCCCGGCACAATTCAGGACAGCGTTTAGGGTTTAGGGTTTAGGGTTT